TTTTAGTCTCCGATTTCGATAACACGGATTTATTCCGGTGCAATTAAAATTTATCCTCGGAGTTCGCATTGAACTGGAAACTTGTTCGATAGGTTTCAAATGGATCGCTCCGCATAGTTTTGACCTTGTTTTTCACGTTTAATGTTTGGATTTTTATTTGCAATCGGAGTTAGGAATTTTGCTGGATTACAATTCGGGTACAAATACTGTCTGAAAATTGGAATTTAATTGCACTCTATTCGATCAGAATTGATACGAAACGATCGCGTTATTTGATAAATGTTAATTGATATTTATTGATAAATGCAAAGTCACACTCAAAACAAGTGAAAAGATCCGACGAGCGAACGTGTGTCGAAAAAACGTCTCTTCTTGATATATGTGCTAAGTTATATATAGATGAGGTAACGCACTGGTTGACTCTGCTAACAATTGTCAGCTGAAGAGAAGCCGTGTATTTACATTCCTGTTATCATTATTGTCACGTGTATCCACAGGAAGAGACGCTGTTGCGAGTTATTACGATGCACGTCACCAAAAATTACTCATATCTCGAAATGCGTGCACAAAGAATTAATTTCTCTTTCTATTTTGCATTTTTTATCATTAACAAGAAGATTCGTACTTGTTCGAATCGAGTGGATGCATTTATACACACATTTTTCTAATTATTTTTATTTATTTTCAGTAATCTTTATTTGTTCTTCTATTTATACATTGTGCTTATCGAAAGATTGACTGATTTATTGCACTGTTTGCTAATCTTTGCACGACTCAAATTTTTCGTTGAGCTGTTTCTCGCTCTTTATCATTGTTTGCTCGACTCGCTTTTAAGTACGCGAGATCATTATCGTCGATTCAATCGTCCGCGATCTGTGCGATTTATACGACGGTGCGCGATAAACGTATGCGTGGCATGATAACAGCCAGCTGCGGGTTCTTTGTCTCCCTGCGCATTTTTTATTAATATTCTTCCGATGCTCCACTTTAATCTTTGTATAAATACACGTTCGTTCTGCCATTTGACGCTATTTGTAGAATGTAGACGGACTATACCGTTCGAATCTATTCTTGGGGTTCTTTCTGTTGAACTCGCACACCTTACGACGTAGTGAATGAATTTTCTCCACGCATGAGTACGCATATTTGATCGTTTTTAATTTATAGCGGACGCAGAATGACTGTCGGTCTCGTCCGCATTTTTTAATCTAGTTTTCCGCATGAAAGTCTTTGTCCTGAAAAATGCAAAATCAACGCGAAGAAATCGGTAGATATTTTATACGCGGATTAAGCGGATTGCGCAATGAGATACGACGATCACGATTAACAACGTATTATCGTTCGTGATAATCGATTCGGCGATTACGGCAAATCACGCAAGATTCATTCGCGAAGTGACTCTTGCGCACTGTTACTTTTCCTTTAATCGCGCTCGCTAGTCGCAGGTGTAACTTTGATCGAGCATTCCGCCTCGAAAGCGGATTCGCTCGGTCTCTTCCCTTTGTACTTTCTCCGATTCACCGTCCCTGAATTCACACGTCGAGGTGCAGTGAAATCGTTTTGGAAACAAATCCACCACCGAAAGCAGAGAGTCATACGTGCCCGCCTCGAAGCGGCGAAAGCCGGGACGATCTAGGGCGATCGATCTCCCGGCCCGAAATTCTTGCGAAAGCAGATCGCTCGATATCGTTCATTACGCGCGCTCGAGTATGATGCCTGTTTGTTTTCCCCTCGCAATCGTGATTTTCGGACACATCCGCTCGCCGGCTGCATAATGCCCGGAACTTTGCACTTTCACGAATCCGAAATATTGACGGGCGGGGCTCTTTTCGGTCGCGCTGTTATAATTCAACGCTTTCGAAAATAAAATTGAACAATTATTTCCGCCTGCGCGGACCTTGATACATTTTCGTGATGAATGCGATATTTCCGATTATTCTCTCGATGCTCCGTTTCGATAAGTTCGAGCTTACTTCCTTCTATGGTCACCGCAGTACCTTTCTTTTTCACCTACTTACCGCGATAGATGATATCGTTACACCGTAACGATTGCATGCATAGCACGCGAAGGCAATGGGTTATTTAATACATGAAGTTCGACTTCGCCATGCAAGTTACAACAATTTTAATGTAGGTAACTTCGCCGTTGAGTCTTTCGCGTGAGCTAGAACGCTGTTCGCTTCCTCCTCGGCCAACTTCCAAGCGATATTCGGTTTTGAAACGATGATTATTGCTATCAAACCGTGAAGAATGTTTAATTTGCTGCGACTAATTATTCCGTCGAGCAGGCATTTAATCTTATCGCGCCGCATACTTAAAAATAAATAATATTATATTTTGCGGAAAGATTTAACTTTTTTTCAACTACGGACAAATTATACGATAAAGAATTGAAAGATGTCTCGCTCGCACATAATATTTTCTAGATATTCGAATTTTATCGGTATTGATTTATGTTATAGATTTGTTGCAGCTTATTTTATATGGCTATTTGAAGGAAGTTAATAATTTCTTACGCTTTCTTCTTAGAATATATGTTTGTTTTATTTATTTATTGTGTGTCGCCGTGAAGCACAGAGCATAATTCTTTAATTTTTTATATCTCCCGGAAAGCGTGAAATAATCGAGATATTTGCGATAAAAACGTTGTTTTGCATCGTTTTCTAATTCGCAATCGAGTTAAGCGGACGATAAAAATATAAAAAATACTATGTGGGCCAGCTTAACAAAGAAAGTGCAATTTACGACGCGTGCAGGTTGGGATGGAATTCAGAGACCGGATAAGTCCTTGTGTATCGCCGCAGGATTAATGCTGCCTCCTCGAAACACGCGTGACGGGCGCTCGTGGCAACGCAGTAGCAATAATCGAACAATAAGCGGAAGTTCTTTAAACGGAGAAAAGGATTTATCGTCGAATGAGGAGACACGTGTGCCAAATTGTTAAATCACTCGATCGTCCGTGAAAAGATTCGGCCGAAAGCGGTGGCGTGAAATACGAAATCTCTCCGAACTGGAAAAGGACAATCCAAGGAATTGTGTTAGAGTGATTATCTGTGACTTTCGGTGTGAATGTTGCTTTAATACGTCGCGATAACATCGGAGCTTGCGAAATAGGTCGAGATAGCGGAATCGAGAGCGAAATTAAAATAGCGCACTCGAAGAAGTTCTTTTGAAACAACTCCGTCTTTATCTCACTGCCGATCCGAAAGAGCTTTCAATCCTCGAAATCTCGGTCGCGCCGTCAGGATCATGTCAAGGCCATGAAGAGCTCGACTCCTCTTCCTGCCAGCAACGACGCATCACCGAGTCCGCTGCATTCGCCTCTCTGCCAGCAAGATGAGGCCACCCCGTCGACTTCGAGGGAGAGAAGCATCGGTTCCGTTGTCGCTCATCGCGAATTGACCTTCGATCGCATCGCGTTGGACGTTTCCTACGCCGGGATCGGCTTCCAGGACGCTTCCGGAGCCGATCACGTCGACTCCGGCGGCACACGAGCGAGACCGAGCACCTCGGAGAATGTGACGGATCTGCCGCAATTCTGGGAGGATATCGGCGTGGTCGAATACCTCGACCGGAAGCTCGGCCCGCCCGACGAGAGCACACCGGAAGAACGCGTCGCGACGCTCCAGGAGATCCTCTCCGAGAGAACAGACATTCACGAGGGCGAAGGCAAGCTCTCGGACTTTCTTTTCCACGTGGCGCGAACCAAGCACGGCAAGATCTACATAAGGGTTATCCGGACTTTATTACTAAATAGAGGTAAACATTATTTAATTTAGATAACGTCGGCTGCGTTTTTATCACGATTTATCTGAGAGCTTTCGCGTGCCTGAATCTGTTGGTTTTTATCCACTCGATATACAGCGATCATTTTGCCGCGTATTTTCTACCATCAGTTTTTAATTTAATGTATTATGCAAAATATTTCGAGGAGTTCGCTGTCAATATGATTTTCCGCTATTTACGATTGATTTTTATTAAATTACATTTTAACGTACGAGAATTTAATGCTGCTAATTAGTTATTCCAAATAAAAAACCAATTTGCGGAATAAATCAATTATTAACACTTAATCCCGTACATTAAAATTAATTGAACATTTGTATTAATCTTTTCGCATTAAGATATCAAATCATTCTTTCGTTGAACCGATCGGTCTTCGAAGAAAGTTTCTTCGTGACACTTTTTACACACGAAGCGACGTGTGTCACGAAGTTTATTAGAATCGATCGGCGTTTTTTCTGCCGCGTCTTCTGTTTCCTGCTGCGATTCCGTTGTTTTCCGGTACGACGACTCGCACGATACGCGTAGTTCGCACGATTCGGCGTCCGCGATTTCCTCGAGTCCACCCAGTATGTCGGAGATAATTACGCAAACTGTGACGAGAAAGAAGGATAAGGACGATCGCACCGTCAGCTTGGAACTCCTCGACGATCTGTGCGGCGGCGCGCAGATCCCCTTCGATCCTGAGAGCCACGGACTCCCCGCGGATTTCCGATTAACGAAATTCAACGACTCGCGGAAAACAAGCCTGCAATCGGAGCGACAGGAGAGAGAGTCGCTGCTCGATCTTTTCCAGAGAAAAGAGGTGATTTTCTCGCGCTATGTAGAACAGAATCGAGTGGAACGAAATTGGATTTTTGCGACCCAAATAACTCGCGGCAATCGTGCCTTATTTGGACAGCGAGCTTTTGTCAATAATTGTCTCTTTCGTTAACAGAGATTTATTCGTTACAATTCGTTCTGTTTTGCACTAGGTTCGTTTAATTTTTCGTAGCTGTGACGAAAGCGCTTTGTCAAGGCAGTTGCAAAAAAATATTTACAGAGATTTATCCAATTTGATCTTTTAACTTTTTTATTATTTGCGCGATTAATTACATTCAACGAAATGTCGCGGGACTTGGTCAACTTCGAAACGGCGACTTTCCGACGAAAATTCAACGAATTGGCACACGCAGGACGAAAAGACGAGTCCTCATGCGCCGGCGTGCGTCAGCGAGGACACCCGCGTGACGAAGCTGGACGATGTGGGCGGAATGATGCTGGTGGAAGCGTTCAGCGTTGTCCCCGCGGTCGTCGACGATCCTTACGTAATGGGCAAGATCGCTTACGCCGTTGCTCTCGGCGGCGTTTACTCGCTGGGCCTCGCCAGATGCTCCAGCACCAGGATGATCCTGGCCGTTTCCGACCAAATGAAGGACGACGAGAGGAAGACGGTGCTGTCGATGACGACACGCGGTTACGCGGACGCGGCGAGGGCGGCCGACATGTCCGTCAAGGACTGCCAAGTCCTGCGAAACTCGTGGTGCCTGTTCGGCGGAACCGCCACGGCGGTGTGCCACCCCTACGAGATAGTCCAGCCAGTGGACGCGACCGTCGGTGACGTCATAGTGCTGACAAAGCCGCTCGGGACGATGGTGGCCCTCACGATATCCGATTGGATGAGGCAGCCCGAGAAGAAGAGCAGACTTGTGCTAACCATCACGGAGGAGAGCGTCGAGAAAGCTCGCTCGCGAGCTATCGACTGCATGATCAGGAGCAATCGCGTCGCCGCCATGCTCATGCGAAAGGTTTGCTATCCCGAAAGCTCGATTAATTAATATCGGATGGAGAAATTTTTGATTGATTGAAAAAAAAAAAGAAATAGAAGTGTTATTTAACGTAGGAATTTTTGTTCAAATAATATTCTCGTTGCTTTTGATTGCGAGAAAAATTTCACGGGACATTTGTGCTCCGTGGAAATGAATTTGAATCAGCCGCTAATTGGTATCTAATTATCGAATATTAATGTTTCGTTCGTGAAAGTAAAAGTCGGAAAGGAGCGGTGATTCATTAATCAAATTCTTCAAAACACAGTATAACGCTCACGCCGCGTGCGAGGTGGGGTCCTACGGTGTCCTGGGACACGCGGAGCTTCTGGCGCGACGGCAGACGAACAGCGTCGGCTTTATCATTCACAACATGCCGGTGATCGCGAGGATGTCCGCGACCTCGAAAATCACGGGGAACGCGTTGCCGTTGCTGCAAGGAGAGATGGCCGAGGTGTCGGGAGGACTGTTGGTGGTCCTGCCGCGCGAGCAAGCGGCCGCGTATTGCAAAGCCCTGGAAAAGATCGAGCGCAGGCAAGCGTGGATCGTCGGGATTGTCGAGAGTGGCGATCGCACGGCGCGGGTGATCGAGAGACCGCGGGTGATCGAGGTGCCTGCCAAGGATAACGGTGTCTCTCTATGGTGAAAACCCGGGGAGTCGCAAGACAGGAATGCTAAAAAAGTTGCCGGAAAGACGCCGCGCGGTCGCGGTCCAGCAATTTTAACGGCGCTTTATATAATTCGCACTGGTGTGTTTACGAATAGAGAATTATATCAAGATCAACACAGTGACAAGTAACTCTAAGATGAATCTTGCAGGCTGAATTGTTTCAATAAACAGTTATCTCGCTAGCATATTTAAAGCGTTTGAAGCGGTTTTTCTTAACAACGGAAATTACCGCTGATGGAGTCGTGTAAATTTAATTTCAGCCTACAAAAATGCGAGAGTCATTTTTTTTTATATTCATTCGCAATTATGGGAACACGATAATTAAGTACAAGGTCTCTTAACTCTTTAACTTCGCTCTTTAACGGAAATTAAATTTACAAAAATCATGGTTGTTTCAATCGCTGCGTATTACCGTACATATCGTGTAATTACTCGAATTGCATGTCTTAATCGCTGTGAAACTTCCACCGTTCGCAGCAACATACGTTTCTATCACGCGCCTAATAGAGACACGGCTAACAAAAGTCTCTCTTTACAGTTAATAAAGCATTAACATCGTCTTAATGCTTCGCCCTTCCGGTTCTACCCGGTCATGGGAAATTCGTGAACTCTTGCATATTTACGCACGTCTATCTTTTTATCGTTTCCCGCAATTACTTCTTACATGGCATTTTGCACGCGTATCGTGTAACGCGAGTTCCTTGACACCTGTCGCTCGGCATTTTAATCGCAATCCGTAATTCTCGCATACCAAAGATGTTGATTCACCTTCGTTGCCACTTTTTTTTTTTAAACGATTTTATCTAATTAGACTTTCAATTAGATTTTCTAATTAGAAATATTAGAAATCTTTTCTAACATAATGATACATTTTAAATAAATAATGTGGTTTTTAAGCGTCAAATAATTAATTTTAATGAATACATTGAAAGAATAATATTTTCTTCAAGTTTTATATACCGACATAAAACGTTATTAGAAAAATTATCTTCAAATTTAATTCTCGATTCTTCATTTAATTTTTTATCGTCACATCGTTTGCACTCATTAATACAAGATAATCTTTCTCGCTTATCGTCTTAGATAGAACGCGTCATAAAAATTTGCGTTGCATAAAAATAGTGGTCGAACCGGCACGTCGAGAAAAATTGTAATCTCCTGTCGACGACGAGAATCTCATTGGAAAGCCATTTGATGATGAAGCCGATAAACAAACATGTTTCCGTGGCATGTCCTCTCACCCGGTATATAAACGAGAACATGTTTTATCTCTCTCAGCCAAAGGTCAGAGCGAAACGCGCGACCTCGCCGTTGTGACCTCGAATCGTCAATGTCATATTTCGGAGCGCGCAGTGTAATAAAACGGTGCGCGCGAGATGTTTGATACGCTCGAGAGATCGATCGGAACTCGAGGAAAACGATGTCGGCCGTGAAAATGTGATTTTCATGGTGCATTTATCTCATCAGTAGTCGATGCGGGGAGGAGGAAGAAAAGGAGGAAGAGCGTTTCCTCGTACTACTTTTCAGCGCCTCCATTTATACTTGTTCTCTGCAGCAGGATGCAATTTTGCAAATTCGTTATCGCACAGCGCACGACAGGACGCGCATAATAGCCCGCGTTGTTATATATTTTAATTGGCATATAATTGTATGCTAACGTATAATGTGATTAGGTGCTCTTCGCATAGAGCACAATATATATTTTTTAAGAATATGTTTTTAATCATTAAAATGTGCCAGCAGCTGTCAATATGCGACAAATTACCGATTTTACGTTCGTGGCTTTTATTCACCAGCTTGGCAACACATGAGTGTATCGCCGCGCGTTTGCGTCAATACATTTCATCGGTTATTAAATTTATTCGCTTATTCGCGGAAAGGTCAGAACGTGACGTCGCGATGCTTTCTAAGATGTTTCTAAGCGCAGCTTCCCTTTAAACATCACCGATCGCCACGGCGTTCCTCTTCGTTTTTCCTCTCCTTATCCGCGCTCGCCGCAACAGCCCGGAAATGAATGGCATCATGCATCAATGTGACATTTACTTAATTTTCCGCGGCTTCGAGTGTTATTTGCCAAGCAACTTCCATCGATTCAATCGACAAATAGATTATTATTTGCTTTCCACTTTCGCTTGCCAACGCAGTATCGTTAAAACTAAAAATAGCAAACATTTTATACAAAATATTCTTTACTTTTTATTGTTTCGATTAACTTTGCGCATTTTCTGCGCTCCAGCAACCGTTATAAATCGTCAGAGCGCGATAAAATGTGAATATCCTGATAAAGCCTGATTAAGAAGAGCCTATTATTACACATGGCCTTATCTTTACGCAAAGTTTACGCTTGTAAAATGAAGAGTTGCGAAGCGGAGACAATCGGGTAAGGGGCGGTTTGGAGGCGGATCGTCGCGCTAATTAAGCAAAAGCATCGCGCCAAGGTCGATGGTGTGCAGCGCCCGGGTTGGCAAGCGCCTTTCTTTATAGTTGGCGGGGTTGCGCGCGCCGCCGGCTGGCCGTTCCCATTCCGCGTGCGTTCCGCCCGTTCGGCCGTTCCTATTCCACCACGTTCCGCGTCCGCGGCGCACACGGTTTAAGATGGCGCATTGATCCTGGGTCGCGTGACGTCTCGTCGCTTGCGATCTCGTGCCGCGCAAATCGCAGGTGTCGCCCGATCGCGTTGTGTAATCAACACGGTGTCGTCGCGTTGCGTCGAACGAAGGAAAGAAAGAAAGAAAGAAAAAAAAAAATAATACAGAACTGGGGACGATGCGCTCGCGTCTCGATATCTCGAAGTCACACGCGACAGTGCTAAGGTGAACCCCTTCGAAAAGTGACGTCGCACTCCGCCGCTGCCGGCTTCGCCTTCATTCCGGACTCGCCTCCACGGCGGAAAATAACGCGTTGAATGGTAAATATCTCCATGACAGCATGTATGTACGTCGTCGTCGGCATGACTCATAATCATCGGGCGGTGGGCCCCGGCGAGAGCCCGATTGGCTGTGTCGCTACGAAAAAGTCCGTCGCGACCAGACGTTTGTTCGTGTCTCTCTCCCTCTTTTTTCTTGCTGTCATTTTCCGTCTCTCTCCCTCATCGGGTAGCATCGCGATTATTATGACGCGCGCGCGCTGTCTAGACGATTTAATGGATCGTCGTTTTGCAACAGACTTTTTGGTCTTTTTTTTTTCGTCGAAAGTATTCTTGTGAAACAAAATTTCAACTTTCCTCGGTGGAGAAATGCGCATTTGCGGTGTGTGAACGATACGTTCTTGTATTACTTAAACATGACATTTCTATAAATAGTTCTCAGCATTTGCGAGTGTAACTGATTTATAGGCTATAGTTTTATTCGATTTCTGTGTCATTTATTTTATGTTATTTAAACACGGGAATATTTTTATATAAGACTTTCAATGACCATGTAACTGAATTACTTATGTGTTTTATTCGATATATGTTTGCCAGAGTGCGACAAAAATTACATGGCAACTTTATGCTGGATCTAAGTAGTTTTACATAATCTGACAGCAGCTAATATTACTGTCATAGGAGACTCAATATAATGTGATACTAACTCGTAACGAGTTTGCGTAATGCTGATAAAATGGTTTCGTATTAACATCTTACGAACGTTAAACGCGTTTGTGTTGCCTTTCGCTTACGTTTGCAAGGTCTGATCTGTGACCTCAGGTTCAATGTATCATGCTATATTAAGCATTGTTGTTAATCGATTTATTGATTTCACTTATATTTGAATCCATTGTGACAGATTACTCAAGTTACATCCGCTGAATAGACTGGAAGAATAGAAACTAATAGATGTGATTAAAATGATTATAACAGAAATTTATTTTTCAAACGTTTCGCTTTTTTACATTTTACTGGAAAACAAGCGAGTATAGCAAGCAATATAGGCGAAAACCGCATATTGAGGTTTCTTGTACATTGCAAGCCGCATCAAAGAAATGGGACACGTGACAACGAGTGACATAGATAACAAAAGCGCAGGTTGCGTAATCTATATTTTGCAACGGATAATTTGCATTCGTGTTGCAAAAAGCAGGAAACTCGAAATGATACTAAATGACACTGATAATCAAAAGTTTTATGATACTTTTCTGCTATTTTTCTCAAACGTACGCGTAATTTGTCATGAAAAATTACGTGTATGTGATTTGAAAACTCTAAATAATATGTGTAAAAAAATTAATAATTTTCTAGAAATACGAGAAAATATACAAGAATATAAAGAATTGATTCTTATTATGTAATAGACGTGTTAGACAATCGTATCGTACAAAATCATTTCCTTCGATGTGATTATACCATCTGTGCTATATGATTTTTTTATAGTATGCAAAATTTTGTACATTCTCAATTATCCTCTGCGGATTCTTATGCAAGCGCGAGACCGAAGAAAATCAATAATCACCTGCTCATCCTCGCCACAGGTGCTGTGCAAGCTTAACGCAGCAACAATTCGTTTTTTAACTCTGAAAAAATTCAATTTTGCAGTTGTTTTTTTGTTGGTGCCGTTGATCATATTACTTTCAATTATTTATATAATTATTTTTATTTCAACAGATTATTTGGAAAAAAGTTACGATAGAAATTAAATATTAAATAAATATAAAACGTGAAATAAAATTGCAATATTTTTTATCACATATTGCTGATAAAATAACATGTAAAATTCAACTTATGAAATTTTGAATTCTAAAAATAAAAATACAATATATTTCTGCAAAGTTGTTATCGTTGTATTTAGTTAGTTGAGAATAATTTAAATATAAAACCGGAGGGATTAAAATTATTACGCAAGCAAAATTATTATACGCACAATACGAGAGAGAAAGCGTACACAGGAAATGATAACAAAAGACTCTTATCGATCGTACTTGGCAACTGAAAGTCACAGGCGACACGGATGTTAATACGATTTCCGTCAGAATGTGCATTTCACAGGTTATATTTATTAATAATTTATGCAATCTAAAAAAAAATTGGCTCCACTTTTATCACAATTACCCACGTTTTAAAATTGTTTTTCAATCAAGTAAGAATGTTTTTAATAGGACAGCACACGCAACGTGTAATTAGAAAACCATTTTTTTTATAAAACTGTCTACGTACTGTAATCAATTTCTCGCCCGACCGAGTGCGGACGTATCGAACGGCGATCAATTTTTTCCCTCCGATCGTCTTTTTCGCACCGCCCGAGCGCGTATCATTGTATAACCGCGGGAGCGCGTCGGCATGAAAGACTATTTACGACAGCTCTTGGTCCCGGAACCGGTCTACGGACCTCGCGTATACCCTGGAGGAGGACAACGCGGCCCGCGAGGAAAGGACGCCGACGCCGGGCGTCGTGGAGCCGGAGGATTCCGGCCGCGAGCACGACGATGATCCTTACGAATACGACGACGACATCAGGCCGCCGACAACGTCCGGCGAGCACGTCCGCGACGTTGACTCCGACGAGGACGAGGAGTGCCTGTCTCTGTTCGAGGCGGCGAATTATCTTGTCTCGGGTTCCTCGGTGCCAACTACGAAAGTCAGCGCGCCCTGCTGGGGATGCAAGGGCTGCGCCGTCGAGGGCTTGCCGTTGTTCCTCCTCGGCTCGCCAGCGGAGGCGTCCCGCACGTGCACCTCCTGTCAGTAATCCGCTTTGTTGTCCTCGTCAGTCGATGTGCCGTCCGCGTTCGCGCTGCGTCAGAATTAATGCACTAAAGCCGATTTCGCTGTCGTGTAATTAAGTTATCAATCACTGTCGATGTCGCGGCAAATATCTGATTATAGCAGAAATTATTACTGACAGAAATTATCCGTTATGGACCAGCGCTCGCCTTTTCATCTTTTATCTCGTTTTGTTTTATACGGAAAGATGAAATTATGAGTTCTCGATTTTTTTTTTGTCAATTGCAAAAGATATTTTTACAGAAGCGAAAGCGCAGGTTTAATAAACCCGTGTCGTTGAAGACAGATGTCTCTTCTCGAGCTAGTCGATTTTTTTTAGCGCTATTAGTGGATTTATTGCGATATAAAATATCATTTATATGCGTAATGTTAAAACAAACAAGTAATTTGACAACAAATCCATTAAGAGCTCGGAAAAGTCGACTGGCTCGAGAAGAGATATTTGTCGATTTTAATTTCTACGACACGGATTTATCGATCTCTCGGCACTGCATTGATGGATGATACTTTGCATTGCCTCGTGACATCACGTTTTTTGCCACGTGACGAGATACGTTTTTGCAATTTCACTTGTAAATCGAGGTGTAATGTTTACGTCGTGCATTTGCAAAATATTTAATGATTCAATATCTCTGACGCAGTGTGGACGTTTCTAAGTGACACTCTCGTCATCTGTTTGTTCGACTTCTTTTTTACGTTGTAAACATCGTGTTCACTCTTCGCTTTCAGCTTCATTATCGCCTGATCACTCGCTTTTGAAAACGTGGAGTTTAGCTAGGACGGCATGATCGAAATTTACACGGCTTAAACTCGAGCGCAAATTGTTCAGTGCACGCACATTAGATAAGATATATTAATCGATAGTAAATAATGACTTTTTTGCGATAAAATTAGATAAGATATGTTGAAGCTACTTACGTGATATGTTTAATTACCACTGTTTTTTTGAATGTCACTGCGTAGTTTGTTCTTTTAAATGCCCTTTCAAAATATTTTTCATCACGCACAAATGTTTCGCCGCTATGCACTATTCGCTTAACAACGTGCTTTCAAAACTTATTTTCAATTTATAACACAAACTTAGCGCTTATTTCATTTAGTACTCAAAAAGATTAATGTCTTGCAAAAAAGTTTATACTTGTTTTCATTAACTCGATACTGTCTTCTTTTTCTACGAGTGTTATGTAATAAATGCAAATCTTTCCGGATACGATTAATCTTATCTTTTTATGTGAATGGTTTAACGTATGCAAAACACGATTTGCGTGCATCTTTGCGATTTAATAGCACGGTGGAGGGGACTTATCTGCATTCCCATCGTACCAGATCGACGAGTCCGCGTGGCTTTTGTGAATGAAAAAAGAGTTGGGACCGGTTTTAAAGCCCCGTACAGAACAACCGGCATTACAACGACACGAATTCCAGGCTGCACCCTGACGTTCGATCGGCACACATGAAATATTTATCTGAAGCCGCATTAAAATAAGCGGATTTTAATCAGGGGGGAAATAAATCTTATTTTTAACAAGATCTTTGTTCGACGGATGATTGATTAATTTTCTACCTCGCCAATACGTAAGGATGCGATAAATTGTCAAAAAATGTGAGTTAATCAAGAGGGATGCAGATTAATGTGATTTAAATCTGCGACAAATATACATCGTGCGGAAAGATACAGTTAAAGTTTTGAATGAAATAATGGAAGTGGATATTTGTTATTAGATTTCGTTTTTCAGGTAGATTTAGTGAAATAATGGTTGCGTTCAACCGTATCTGTTATCAAGGATAGCAAGCAACGCGTAAAATTCTGCAGCCTTTCGATCAGCAAATTGGCGGCATTTCAACTCCACGGTAGTTTTTGATTGCATTGTTTCTCCTAAAAGTGCATTTGCCGCTTGAAAATCGTCGAAAACGAACTGCGAACGATATATTTTCATTCTGTGACAAAATTACTACGAGGTCACTGACAACTTCATAAACTTTTTCCTCATAAATTTTAACTTCATACATTTTATCTACTTACGTGGAAAACGCTTCTCCATCAAAGGGAATACGCGAAGGGAGCAGCACGACGCTATAAATTACGGAAACGCTCAAAGAAAGGAAAATGCGTGATCTGAATTGTACAAAGGCTTTTGCTCGCCTCACGAAGAAGAAGTCGGAATTAATCAAAAGACTATTTGAATAAGAAAAAAAACAGAGGAATATTTTAGAATAATTTCTTCTTCCATGAAAATTTCATCGCAGAAAAAAATGCGCAAACTGACATTAAAGCTTCGAAGTAAGTCCTTAAAATTCCAAGCAAGGAAGAGTTTTACATTTTTACCGCATGCTATTTTCGCGACACTCGGCGCATTTTTGATTCCTGCATCGCGCTTCGATCGATAGGGAAATCTTCGGCACTCGCGTGTCGAGGAATCCGCGGCGCTTTCTGAAAATTCACTTATCGATCATCGCGGTCAATTGACCGTGAAGGTGTCCGTTAACATAATTCACTCGCGAAGACGTCCTCGTCACGAAGACGACGACGAAGAGCAATTCGAAATGCAGTGGTGGGCATCGAAGCGCGTATCTCTCGTTGGAACTGAAAGTGTGGCCCATTACAGTCATTTAGTCTCGCTTGTTCAATATATTATTACGGCAACCAGTCATAAATCCCTTCGGTAGAAAAAAAGAGTCGCTCTTAAACCAATTACGTAATGCAGACATCCGTGAAGTGTCTTGGTCCAAATTTTTACAATAATTTTATATTACTTCTCGTTACGTCATTTTTTATTCGACGTGCAAAACTCGCGTAGGATTGACTTTGGGAAGAGAGTTTTGGAATTCAGTTCCAGCCGCACGCGCGATTTTCGAGGGCGAGAGAGCGCGCGTCTGCGCTTTCGGACGATCGGCCGGCGCGACTAGTCGATCGATATAAAAGGGACGCAAAGGGGCTCAACTGCATGACTCTCTCGTAGAGCAGAAGTGTCATTTTATCTTCACGCTTTCCTGTTCTTTATCGTTCTCGTGTGCCGCCGCCCTCGTTAGAGTCGCATCCTTCGACGCAGAACATGCGATCGTGTGCGCCCACGCGATTTTCCTCGCACGCGCGGAACAGAGCGATCTGTTGCTCGTCATCCGACGCTCTTTTTGTGAAAACTCCGAGAATAGAACGAGCATTACACTTAGCCGGGTTAATTTGGAGGAAAACGTAAGTGAAAACGTCGTGAAAATGTCACGTGCAGAAAAACCGTAACTGGAATCCTTTTCTACGAGTCCAGCGGGGGACTTTTTTAAAGTTTGAAACTTCCACGATATCGCAGACAATGCTGGCACCTACTTTCGGCGTGCTCACGTTGCGAGATTGCGATTTCTTGAAGAACACGCCTGAATCTTTAAACTTGTTGAACTCGGATAATAAATAATGTATCAGAGTAGATATATTATTCACACCTCTTCAAATATTCCAAACATTGATTCTTTAAATTACATTTAACAAATCTTGACAAGATATTGCCGAAGGAAAACATGATTTTAAAAAACACAAGGCGATTTGCATCCGCGTAACAAACAATTAATATTTTCGAAAATAAAGAAACAAAAGCAAATTCTACATACACGCGAGCGTCTTGTGACTTGAAATGATCCTCGCGTTTATTTGTGCAGAAAAATAAAGCTGAAATTTTTCTCACTACATCTCGCTGATGCCGCGATGTCGACTTTGCACCGGAGAGTCTCCGCACTCCGGACCTGGCGATATATTTTTCTTGCCTTGGTTAATAAAGATTAATTAATCCTATTAAAGAAGATTAAACAACAAGTTCGAGGAATAAATATGCGAACGGGATTTGCGCTTTACTTGCTCACAATAGAATTACCCGCCTGTTTTAGACCGTTAGCCGCCGACTTGGGAGATTATAAATAGCGGAAAATCGATTACTGGTAATGAGATAGCATGCGTTAAGATCTAATGCGTTATTACTACTAGGCTTGCTTCTGTAAGGAACGATGCTTCCCGATAACGTATCCCATTTCACGTTGCGAAGCAAGCGAATTCAGACCGGCATGGTTTTTCCGCGAGCTTAATTCGACGCTGTAAGCGAACAATTCTGGCGCGAATGAAGATAAAGATATTCCACATGCAACGGGACTCGAACTCACTGAAATTGTACCGGCTTCAATCGCCATCGCACTGTATCGTCGACACTCAAATAGATCGTTTGTGAAAACGTCGTTCAACGAAAGAAATGTGATACTGCAAGATATATCGACTACGCGACACGAGCTACAGAGATCTACATTTGTATCGCGCGCGCTGTGAACACAAATTAAACGAAACTAATGTATTTGTGCGGCGCAAACGCTGAAAATGCGTTGTCTCTCAAACCGAATGATATATTTTTAATAAATGAGATGAAGATTAAAGAATGAGAAAAGGCTGGCTGAGCCAGCAATTGTCTGAGCAATTGTGTGAATCGCAAGTCGAAAGACTGCACAACAGTTTTCACTGTACTTCTTTGAGTGAGATGGAAATAGAATAGAAAATGATCAAGCATTGCTTATTTACGATCTATATGTAAGACTTCGGCCTCTCTGCTGTATTGTGTTATATTTGCCTTCTTTATGTATTCCGATTGTAAATGAACAGTCTTGAAAATGATTTATCATTCTGTTGCAGTCTTATGTAGCAACCGGGTGAGCCAAATGACCAAGACCTATAATGACATAGAGGCAGTTACAAGGCTTCTAGAGGAGGTAAGCTTAAGCAGAGAGCACGAGCTGGTAGAAACTAAGTCCGCGCGACGCGTATCGTGTCGTTAGAACTTTACAACCTGTTCCTTGTCTAACGAGAGACATCGATAACAATAGTGACGAATCGATTAATGGTGACCATTTAAATGATAATTGAACCAATTACATAATTGAATACTCGACTAATTTATCTAGAATTTGATTGAAAAATCATTAATATATTCTGAATTATTTTCAAGCTCCAATAATTTAAAGATATTATTAAAACTTTTTAGACGTTACTTTTCCGGAAGTACACTAATAAAAATATTGCTACGTAATGGAACATTTAATAAACTGAAAAGTAACTCGACAAATTCGCAGCAATTGTATAATGTATAAGAAATCTGCGGCTGTAATAATAATGACAGCTAAATGGCTAATGACAGCTACGTTTTTCCTCGACAGAAAGAGAAAGACTTGGAGCTGACAGCGCGCATCGGCAAGGAACTGCTGGCACATAATCAGAAACTCGAGACAACGGTGAACGCGCTAGAAGCTGAGCTGAAGGAGGCGAACGAGAAGATCACCCAGTTGAACCATGAAGTGTTGAAGAAGACCGAGCTGATACAGATACTAACGAACGATGTGGACGAGTCTAGCTCGGAGGCTGGAACTCCCACCGGCCTTTGCGGCATCAATTTGGACGTGCTGCAAAGGAAGGTCACCAGCCTCGAGGAGGAGAACAAGCAGCTGCGCAACGAGTTCGTCAAGCTGGTATGCGATACCGACGACACCGAAGAGCAGGAGGCACGCCTCGTGAAAGACATTGCCGCGCAATTAGGTATGCGCTTATTTATTTTTATATGTAAATTGTAATAGTGGATGTCAACACTTTTTGAGGACCAAATTTGCGTTCTTGTGATCAATTTACGTTCTAGCAAAATAGTAAATTTCTAATGTAATATGTCTGTATGGTCGAAAATCTCAATATTTCACGTGTATGACAAAGTATTCTGGGAACAGCGCCAAGTTTGCGAGCAAAACGCATCGGTCCTTAATGTGTTAAGTAGCGTGTTAGTCGAGCTTCGGTAAAATTATATAATTTGAATGCTAAGTAGAAGTTTTGATAAATATGAACGTATATAGAATATAATTAAGATAAATTTTCGTGTAAATGTGGAATGCTGTAAATATAATTCTGTTGAATTGAATAACAGCAAGTGCCAATATGGAAGTGGACGGCATAGCGGAGGAGCTCGGTCGCCAGAAGGAGGAGAACCGACTGCAGCATGAGCAAATAATTAGTCTCACTGCAAAACTAGCCGAGACGGAGCTCAGGCTCGCTCAGCTTTTGACGGAACACGACGAGGTGGGACATACTCTAGTCATCACTAGGGAGAATCAAAATACGCTCGCTAGTGAACTAGCCGAATTCAAAGAGCGATATGCGGAGGTACGTTTTAACAGACCGAACGCGTGAAATTATTCCCTCGAAGCCTTGCGCGTGATTCGTATCGCGATGTAGACAAAAATTGACTGACTAGTACATTAAGGTCTGAACTATTGTTTCACCTGTAAGCTCAACACTGAACATATTTGCGCACCAGGTGATGAACTTACTAGACGAAGCCCAGGAACAGTTGCGAAAGCAAAGAAGACGCGGGATGCCGATTGTGCGCGGCGGATCGCTGTTTCCATCCATGGGCGCGGCGCCACAGCCGGATTCTATCGCATCGGAATTGGAGATGTCCCTTTATTCGGAGAATTCCATTGATTCTGGGATCAGCACAGGCGAGAGATTGTTGTACGTTTTAAAGCGCCAATGGTGTAATGTTATATCTAAAATTTGAACTATGAACAATACATTCTCACGTATTAAAAACACGATTATAGTTCCAATTAAATGAAATATTTTGCGTTCCGTAGGCCAACCTACAAGAAGGTGTTTGAAACCGTTCGTAGCGCGTCGCGAGCGTCACACACGGGAATGGACCCCAATCAATTCCCCAGGTTAGGTTCCATGACAACGTCAACGTTGTCCAGCAGTTCTGCTGGCCCGCGCATGAGTTGCGGACAATTGCGACCTCAGACATCCACGTTTCCCAGCTTGGATTCCACCGGTCACAGTGAGAGCAGTGAGGGATCTCTTCTCACCGAGTCGGAAGATTATCCGTACGTATTTATTTCCTCATACAAAAAAAAAACTATATAATAAATAATTCCAACTGATAAAACTCTGTTTTAGGGGACCGCAACGAACGGGCGTGCCTGGCGCTCCCGGTGCGGCGGATCTGGAAGCCGCTTTGCGCCGCTTAACGCCGGCTGAGGTGATAGCGAGGCGCGCGTGTCTCCTCACAGGCGTCAATTACAAAGACTATTATGACGACGGCACGATACATTCCCCGCCAACCTTTCTGCCTTTCGACTGTCGCACTCCGGACAGCATCATGTCGACCGGCAGCAGCGGAAATCTGAGCGGCTTCAGCGGCAACGCCTGGCGCATCCCGCAG